TGGGCACAGAGTGCCCCCAGGGCCCCCAGTCAGCAGCCTGGACGCGCACGTGGCCCGCCTCCTCGCCCCTCTCGGCGAACACTTTCCCCACCGCTCGCTTTCTCGCTCTCAACCTCCAATCCAGGTCTTGCCAGAGCAAGAAATCAATGCAGGGGAATCCGCTCACTTTCCAAACAGTAGGCCACCAACTCCAAAACGAGATGAGGAGGGTGTGGGATGAGGACGGGGGAGGAGACACAGATCAAGGGGATACTGAGGGGGCTTGGGGGTTAAGCAGGGGAGGAAAATACCAGGTAGATAAAAGCGGTTCCCTATTTGGTCCCCAACCATCTACAGATGGACTCTTAAATGCCAATGGTGATGCATGTCACGCTCACCTACCAGTCCAGGGCAGGTGTCAGGGCAGATAACCATGGCACGACCTTTGCCTTCTCATCCCTAATAATTATTGCAGCGGAGCCCCCTCGCCCATGCGGAGAAGGCTGGGCCGGGGCAGAAGAAGGTGGCTGGGGCAGGTTGGCTCAGCGCCCCCTCAGATGGGGGACGGAGGAGGTGAATTTGGCACATTGAACCCCTTCTTCTCGTAAGTGCTTGAGGTCCTTCTCTGCAATCCGGTTGGCACCATCCTTTGGGCCAGCAGAGGAGGGGCTGAGTTGGTCTCCGCTCTCCCCCAGTTTCTACAGCTTTGCCCCAAGGAGGCAAGTGGGGGTTCTCCCTGGCTGGTGGCATTTGGGGGATTCAAAAGGTTAGGGGTCAGCTGAAGGGGATTTTTTTTTCTTTTTTCTTTTCTTACAAAGATTCTAAGAAAAACTCAGGGTGGGAGGGGTGAGGAAGGGGGACCCAAATTAGCTAAGTGTCCACGGACTTTTTCAATGCCTGGTAGGGGCCTCCTCCAAGATCAATGGTCCCGTTTCCTGCCCCCTATCTGAGGTTCCCTCCCCCCCAGAGCGGCTCAGTTCTAAGGAAGTTTGGCACTTTTTTTTTTTTTTTTAAATCAGTGGGGAAATTGGGCGGGAGTTGAGAGGAGAAGGGGAAATCAGACGTCGACAAAAGATAGAGACGGGACAGATGACATTGGGAACCACAGGGAGAGGAAGTAGGAAGCCATAGGGAGTCAGAGTAAAGAAAGAGAGAGGGAAATGCTAGGGGGCGGAGGGGGGAATGTTGGGAGTCGGAGGGCAAATGGGAAAGGAATAGGGAGACAATTCAATGCAGCAAACACTTATTAAGCACCAAATGGGTGCTGAGGAGCAGGGTGCGAGGAAGCCACTCAGCGTCTCTGAGACCTGACCGGCTAACGGGGAGAGAGGGGAGGAAAGAGGCGATGGGTTTGTCGATGATCCCCATTTCTGATTCCACGCCCGCGTCCCCTCTGGACAAACTGCAGCACAAAAAGATTGAGGTCAGATTGCAGAAGGGACTTTCAGGAGATGCGGAAGATGGTGGAGTGCATTTCCCAGGGTGACAGGGACAAAGGCGGGTGGTGGTCCGCTCTCCAGCAGGGCGAGTAAACCCGCTCACTAAGCTAGCAAGCTACCTTCCAGATAACCCTGGCTGGCGGGCTGGGGAGGAGGGGTCCCCGGGAAATGTGAATAGGGAGGGGGTTGTCACACAGATATCCCAAAGGGACACTTTCCAGGAGGCCCAGCCTCCAGAGACGTGTCTGTGTGAAAGGATACTGGACCCCCAGAAATGGGTACAGGAAACATCTGACAAGCAGAGGGCAGCTGAGGATGCAAACGATATGCAAATGAGCACTTTCAAACCCCACCTCCCCACTCCCAGACCCTACGTTACCTCTCCCTGGCTCCTCCCTCCTCCTGGGGGCCTGGGGATGGGAGTTGTAGGGGGGACATTCCAGTTAGACACTGCAATGCCCACATGTGGGTGGAGTTACTGTGAAATACTGTAAGGTCTTTTTGACAGGCGGAGAGGAGCAAGGGCCCCCAGGGCCGCCTCCACCTCCAATCTCAGGAGCACCCCCTTGCAGAAGATATGTACAAAGTTACATCAAGAATTGTTTTGGCACTCAGATCTCCATGGGGTTCGGTCTGGAGATTGGGGGTGGGCGGGGCAGCAGCGGCAGGAGGTAGGGGATGGGGAGGTGGGGCCTGCCCTCCACCCTGGAGATGGAGAGGGCCTGGAAAAGGTAACCCTAGTGCCCAAGCTACAGCCTCCCGTCAGGTGGAAGAGCCAGGGTGGGAAATTCAGTGCAAGGTACCTTGAAGGCTATTGCTTTCTAGGGATTTTCACATTTTGATTTGGGGGTGGCTCTCTAACAAGGGGCAGTGGTCTCCTGGGCTTTAGGGGGGGGGCGGGGAATTGTCTCGGGCTTTTCTTCCCTCCTTTTTTTGGGAGAGAGAGATGAGGAGGCCGATTCCCCCAAAGCCGTGGAGAAGAGAAGGGTCTGGAAGACCTAGGAGGGGACAAATGGGGGAGAGGGTGGGCATGGGGTGCCCCTCCCCCAGAGATGCTGATGATGGAACCAGGGCCCTGGGGGCCCTGCTTGGGGTTGGAGGAAGTGGAGTTGGTCTCCGAGGGGAAGGGGGAGATGGATGGGGATAGAAGTGGGTCTCAGCTATCCTAAGTCTACAGGGTTGTCAGGTCCTGAAAGCTCAGCCTGCCGACAAGGCCTTCCATCTGACCACAGCCGCAGAGCTCAGGGAGCCACTCCCACACCAACTCTCAGGGCTGCCTGGCTTGGCAGACGCCATCAGAACATTCTAGCTCCTCAGAGCCTATGGTGAGAGCGTCAAAACTTTCTGACTCATCAGATACCACCAAAGTGCTCCAGCTCGCTGGAAACCACAAGCCAATCTAACCCATTAGGCCACACGAAGCCTCCTGGCCGAGGGCCCCTACCCTGGCTCACTGACCTCGACAGCGGGCCACGCCAGCCTGACAGAGCCACCACACACGTGGCTCACCAGACTCAATGAAACAAAGCCACGCAGACACGAGCATGCACACACAAGGTGGGGGGTAGGGATGGGGGTCTTTGACAGTCATTTTCACTAGCTCCATCTCCCGCCCCTCCCTGCCAGGTGAGCTCACAGACTTGGTGTGTTTGGATGGAGGCGACCCTGACAATACTGGGTCATTTTCCTTGGAGGCCTTCAGGTCAGATCCAAGTCCCACCCCTTATTCTCCTCCTAGGAAGACCCCCAGGCCAAGACCCACCATAGAGGGGCGAGGGCGGAGAAAGAGGGTCAAGTCACTAACTGGCCATGGCCCAATACAGGAAGTGCATGCTTCGTCCCCATGACATCACAGGAAGTACCCCGGAAACACCACAGGCAGTCCATGTCCCCAGGATATCATGAAAGTAACCTTCAAGGAAGGCTCACGGGAGACATCATAGCAAGTACCTATCTCTCCTAGCATCACGGGAAGTGACCTCTGGGAACTACTTCCTGTGACATCACAAGGAATGCTGGAAGCGCCCCAGAAAGTACTTGACTCAGTGACATCACAACAAGGACTTCCATTCCTATTACTTTAGGAAAAGCCATAGGAGATGCCATAGGCAGTGGCTCCAGCCTTTCACAAGGGTCTCGCCCACTGGACCGGCCCAGTCTGAGAGCCGGCCTCATTCCCAGCAGCACAAGCCCACCCCCCAACCCCCATAAACCTGACAACAAAAAGTTAAAAGCCCCACCTCGGAGGGGTGACTGCAATGGGGGGAGAGTAGCTGAGGAACTGGGGTTCCTGCTGCAAATGCCCCATTTCAGCTACCTCTCCTTCCACTGCATCCCTCGAGCTGGACCTGAAAGCAGGAGAGGTGGGTGTGGTTTGGGGGAGGCCCCTCATTCTAGGTCACCCAGAGGCTCCCTCCCCTCTTCCCATATGGAAACAAAAACATATATATCAAGGGGGAAAACAAAATCCTTACCGGAAAAAAAAGGAGGGAAAGAAAGAGAAAATAACGCTTTGTTTTCTATTAAAATCAACAAAATGCAATATATACAGATATCACACAGACCTGGGCCCTGGGGGAGAGGAGTCAGGCCCAGCCAAGCGTAGGAAGGGAGGAAGGAAGGAAGGAAGGAGGGGTCAGTTCAGGGCCAGGGAGGGAGCTGTGGGCTCCATCCCCAGCCATCTCTCAATCCTGCCTATGAACTACCAGAAGGGAGGGGGGTGCAGTCAGACCAGCCCCAGCCCCAATCCCACGAGGAGCAGGACCACACCGAGCTGAGGTCAAGAGTTGGGGAGGAGAAGGAGGAAGAGGAGGAGGAGGAGGAGGGAGAGGAGGAGGAGGAGGAAGGAGAGGAGGAGGAGGAGGAGGCAGAGGGAGAGGGGTGGGAGCACACACCACAGGCCTCATCCCACTTTCTGGGGGTTTGAGGCCCTCACTCCCTGCTCGTAGGTGACCCGCTGGCTGATGAGGTATTGAGCGGCTT